ATTAAAAACGGGGGGGCAGTCAGGTCTAGGACTTGGAGGATGAACAGGTTTTTGGTAGACAAAGATGGGCGGTGAAGACCAAGGAGACAATCTAGGTAAAGGAGACTGTGAAAAAAAAAGCTGCGGGAAGAAAAACCCATGGTGGGGTTTCCAAGATCTGGTAGGAGGGTTTGAGGGACACTGGAGATCAGGCAGGTGAGACAGGTCAGGACCTGGTAGAGAAGGGTTCTGGAAGACTCCTCAGAATATTTGTTGCTCTACCCAGCTACAGCATGGTCAATTAAGTCACAGGTAATTAGACCTCCTGCCAGGAGCCTAAGCAAATTCTTGGCACAGGATGCTTAGGAGAGTGGGAGGAAGAAAACAGTCCTCTACTTGTGAAGTGTCGGGTGAAGGGATGGCCAGACACTCACCACTCGTCTGGATGAAGGATTGCTCTGGGCCTGGCAATTCATGGCCAGGTTTTACAGTAATTGGAGTGGCGCCTTCTTTATCTACAAGGGAATCATTTTGCTCTGCCTTCAACCATAGCTTTGGAATCTGTGCTATTTAGTGCATTAAAGTATGCCCATTAAATAAGTAAGTTATGCTAACTGGCCTGGAACAAACACGGAGGATAAATGGGCTTTTCACAAAGCAAATAGCAAACCCAGTGTCTCTCACATAGCTTGCTGAGAGTTGGAATTCTCACTGCAGTCAATCTTCTGGGATTTAGGTGCCTGTACAGGCAGAAGTCAAGGAGGGAAGGTTTAATGCATCGAAGCATTTTGAAAGGCAAGCAGGGCATAAGAAACAGCTTTTCTAGGCTGGTAGGGCTGAGGCTGGACAAGTAGCAGTCTATGAGTGGACATGTGCTTTTGCCCAGGGTTGGGCTGTTATGATGAAGGGAAGTGTACTTTTATAAGTATTTCATTAGAGAGGGTAAAACCCCAAAGAAGCTTCCACTTGACAAGGCATCCATCCTTGCCTGCCTGATCACATGTTGGGATTAGCATGCTTTCTAACCAATGGGTAAGGCTCCCAAGTTGGGCTGAGGTCTCCGAGATGTGGTAGGGAAGGCAGATGAAGCCAGCCTCCAGCGTTCTTACACGGGGATTTGAAAAGGAAAGATTTATCTCAAGCGTCAGTGGATTCAAAATGCTAAGCACAGCATCAGTGGGGTGTCCAGTGAGATGTTTGAGTAGGAGGTAATTTCACTTTTTCTCTTGCTCGGCTAAAGGCAGGTGATAAAAACAAAAGGCTTTATTTATAGCAGAGGTGGAATATTTGGAAGAGGAGGGAAGTAGAAATACTTTCAGTGAAAGATTAGGATGAATCAGTGACAGAGGATGGCAGGGAAGCACTGCGGGGGAGAGAGTTACAGACAGAAGGAAATTCAGATGTTTCCAGCTCCTTCTCTCTGTTCTCTTAGCTGTTCATTTCCATTTGTTATTTGCCCCTTTCCTGTTCTGAGTCTTTCATTTTTGTGGGTTTCCTGCTGATATCAGGATTGCTACTTCTGGAACAAATCTAGGTAGTTTATGATATAATATTATCTGAAGAACCCAACCTTTTTCAGTTTTTATGAGGCCCCTAAACTTTCAGGTTAGTTTTGTAAAAAATCTTATTTTAAAATATACAGTTAATACATGCAACAACATGGATGAAATTCAAAATAACCATGCTGAGTGGAAGAAGCCAGTCAATAAGATCACATACTGTATCACTCCATTTATACAGAACTCAAGAAAATGCAGAGTAATCAATAATAACAGAGCAGATCAGTGGATGCCTGAGAACAGAGAAGCTTTGATGAGGGTGGGGTAACAAAGGGATGTGGGGAAACCTTGGGAGATGATGAGTATGTTCACTATATTGATTGTGGTGGTGGTACTATGGAGATATATGTATATATATATGTATATAGATATACACTAACTCCCCTATGTATGCAAATGTGCATTTGCATGTCTGATCACATAAGTCAGTTCACCTGTCTGGCGAACATTGTCATGTGTGCATCCTCTACAAGTGATTGTGCTTTCATAAACTTCGTGAAAAGTACTGTATAGAGCAGAGTATGTATGGAGTACAGTACTGCGTGGAGTCCAGAATACAGTATGTATAGAGTACAGTACCATGTGGAGTCCAGAATACAGTGTGTATAGAGTGCAGTACTGTATGGAGTACAGTACATACAGAGTATAGTACTGTATGGAGTACAGAATGTATAGAGTACAGTGCTATGTGTAGTACAGAATGTATAGAGTACAGTACTGTATGGAGTACAGAATGTATAGAGTACAGTGCTGTGTGGAGTACAGTACTATATGGAGTAGAGCACTGTATGGAGTACAGTATGTATAGAGTACAGAATGTATAGAGTACAGTGCTATGTGTAGTACAGAATGTATAGAGTACAGTACTGTATGGAGCACAGAATGTATAGAGTACAGTGCTGCATGGAGTGCAGTGTGCATAGAGTACAGTAGGGGAGATTATCTTTATTTCAAGCCCACGATGTCCAGAAGCAAGTGTAAAAGCAGTGGTGATGTACGGTATTGTACTATATAGCCAATTGTGTAAATTGGGTATCTAGGCTAACCTTATTGGACTTAGGAACACATTGGATTCATGAACGTGAACTCATTTGCAAGTAGAGGAATTATTGTATATACACACACACACACATATATGTATAAAACTTACCAAACTGTACACTTTAAATATGTACAATTTTACATGTCAATTGTAACTCAGAAAAACTGTTGAGAAAACCAACCTTAGCTTTTAAACATCAGCCGGTTAAACTTGTGTAAAGATGCGTGCAGGGAAAAAGGCAGGTGTCATAACATGGTGCACGCAGAGCTGGGACAGAGCCACTGTGTGGGAGAGGGGACTTGAACGCAGCCTGGTGGGGACGTAGGGCCAGGATATGCCTCCCAGGTGCCTATGGTTTAGAACGGTCTCCCTATTCCTGCTGACTTCCATTGTTTCTGGTCAGGTCCAACTTCTGCAAAGGAAAAAACTCGCAAGCAAGACAGCAGTGTTCATTGGCCCGGAGCCAGTGACCCTTCAGCCCGTTCCCTTCTATTTGGTTGGTTCACATTCACACCCCACATACTCCAGAGGCAGCAACCAGGCCTGAGACTGCCAAGTAGTCCCTAAAGTAGTCCCTGAGTCTCTGTGGCTCTTACTGTTAAGAAACAGGGGAAAATGAAAGCCAATCTCTGAAGTTCTTAATCCAACTGTAATAGACCTTGGTAGAAAAATATGGGCATAGACATTTAATATTCTGAATTTTTTTTTCATTTATTCCTAAAGTACTTGTTGAGCGTACACTTTTAACTGGTAATAAGCAGCATACTTATAATTGGTAATAAGATGAAAATCATCTCTCATAGCACTTGCTGTTTCAGGCCACAGAGATGACAAATCACCAGGCGATTACGCTGTGGGCTCTGTGTATGTACAGCGGGCTCTGTGTATGTACAGCAAGCTCTTCGAGAACGGAGAAGACCCCCCAGATTGAAGTGAAGGGGAAGCTTCCTAGTGGAAGGAGGAGAGGCTGGAATTTCTTTTTAGGAACGTATGGAGGACGGCCTTTTCCAGGGAAGGCAGTGGAGTCCTCTAAAGACACTGAAGATTCTGGAATAAAGACGAGAAGTTCAGCGGCCCCTGAGGTTGTGGTGAGGTCCTTAGGAGGACAGGACCCTAAACAAGAGCCTATTACAGGCACTGGATTCTATGACAGAAAGAGGAGATGGCCGCAGCACACTCAGGCCTGGCTGCGCTGCACTCGCTGGCGTGGCCAGGGGTCTGAGGTCCCAGTGGATGTAAATGCCTAGGTAACCCAAAGGAGCCACGAATGAACAGACTTTCCCTTCTCAAACGTGGAACTGTGAAGACGACTCAGGGAAAACAAGAGGCGTGGCCAAAACAGGACATGAACTCATAACACAGACCCAGGGGGAAAAAGTCACAGCTCAGCCCGTGTTAAGATTTGTGCTGGGGCTGTGCACTCTCCAGGGTCCCTCCTGGAGGTGTAACTACAGTTTACAGCAATGACTGTCCGGTGGACTCAGGAGCCGTAGCTGGGAGATGACGTGACTCTCCCGCAGTCTGGATGCTCATGTGGCTTCCTGTAAATATCCAGGGTTTCAGCCTGAACCAGGCAGCCCAGGTAGGCTCCTCAGGCCACCCCTGAGGACACGGGTGTTTTACAGTTTTCCACAAGTTGCTGTTTTCTCTTATCAGGATGGTCACTCTCTGGCTAATGAAAAACATCTCTCTGGCCCAAACATGACCTTGAGGTTTATCTAAATCGTTTGTTGCTCAGCAGAACAACATATATCAGAAGTGAAATATATGCCAAAAGACACCTCTAATGCACCATTTATCTTTGCTGTAATTGATTCTCATGCAGGACAAATGCCCGGTGGGGATTCACAGAGGGCTTAACACACTCTGCCATTATGATGACATCATCTCACATAAAGCAGCCCTTCTGGATGCCTGATAGATGACAAGGCCTTTTTTCTTTTTTTAAGTGCTGCTCACAGCGCCACGTTTAACTATGGGATTACAAGGAGCAACTGTTCCGATCGTACTTCCCGACCTTTATTTTCAGCCGGCACTGTCAAGCTCATCCCACACTCCAGTCAAAATAAAATTATTTCAAAATCCATACCCAATTGATGACTCTTGTCAAGAGAACCTGTGCAACAATACGTATCTATCGACTTTCGGTTTGGGTCGGTGTTGAGATTTATCGTCTCTAGGCAAACATTGAGCTGGGTGAAGTTTGGGTCAGCTAGGTCCTTCTCAGTCGATAAATCTGAGAGTTAGACTTGGGGAGGAGTCAGTGCCCATGAGCAGGAGTTTGTGTAAACTGATGGTTTTAAAATCCACGAAGGGGATAGAGAGCCACAGAACCCAGCTCAAAAACTGCTGAGACCCGCGGGCTTCAAAGAAACGACTTAAAGATGCGCAATGGAAACTAGAAGCCGTGCAGCCGAAGCATGCCCCTGAATAGCGCAGGGTAAGCGTGAGAGACCACCTCGCTTTGAAGAATGGTCTGGGATGAAGAGGGCTCCATCTGTGAGAACCATTACATGCAGTTATACATCATGATAGTATTAATTACATAATCATTGCAAATGGCCCTTCAGGATGTTATCCTCTGACCCCCAGGGCCGCTGCATGGAAGGCAGTTGAGGAGTAATTGGTGGTTTCTCTAGATCCGTTAAGTGGAGGGGTGGGCCGCTGAACCCTGCTGTCCAAACTGATGTCTTAAAGTGAGCAGGGGGCCTTGGGAGGTGCTATCAAGGCTATTATACCAGCTGGTCTTCCTGTATTTATTGTGAACTGCAAGACCATCACTCAGCAAAGCCTATTTGTTCTTTGAAATGTCAGCACACCGTTTTAAGTCCTAATGTTGCATTAAACTATTCTTTTCAAGTTACAAAGACAGAAGGGGAAAAGAAGCATACTGTTGGGACATGTAGAGAGTCTCAGCAGAGCAAAATATATCCTTTACTAGTCAGGATAGGCTGGGCTGTACTGTGGTAACAACTAAACCTGCGTGTGTAACGAGCTTCCTTCAACGGTTCATTTCTCATTCACACCGCAGTCTGCGATCTGAATGGCTTTCCTTTGTGGGGTCCTCTACACGGGGACTCAAGGATAAACACTCCTAATTTGTGTTCTCACCATACTGAGAGTTTAGTTAAGCTCATTCCATGTTATTGCTGCCTCTGCATCTATTTTGTTTGGCCAGTCAGACTGCAGGGACCTTAAACTGACTCCAGCCCCCTCACACAAGCCCATGCCTTAGAATCTGCAGGCTTCAGTGTCACAGGCAAATATGAGTTTCTTGGTATGTCTTTGTGATGAGCAGTCTCCCTCCCCTCCTGACATCTGTGTGCCTTATTCTTACCACACCCATGCTCTTTTAGTTTGAATTGACCAATCCGGCCCTAACCTGAAAATCCCAACCCACTCTGCCCATGCACCCTAATAAAGACGTGTGATCCAAGTCCTGCCTCCCTGCTCTCTTTGCACTTTGCCTTGACCTCCCTGTGTGAGCCCTTGGAACATACAAGTAGTAAACTTCTGTTTCAATTTCTCTTGTGGTCTGTTTTTGAAACTTGACTCACCATCCAGCTCCCCGTGTTCCACTTAACACATGCTAATTTAATAAAGTCATAACATACCATTTTAAGCAGATGGTCTTCAAGTTAGTCACAAAGGGAAAGTGAACTGGAGGTTCAGATGGAATGTTCTTAATGGCCAGAACTGGAAGTGACTCTGTATCACTTCTGTCCATCTTACACTGGGAAGAACTTGGTCTGATGAGGTGGTTTTAACTTCAAGCAAGCCTGTGACTTGTAGGCCTTTTGAGTGCCCAAGAAGTATTGGTTTTGTGGACGCACAGTACTGTCTTGTCCCTGCCAGTCTTTGTAAAGAGAAACTGACCTCCGATGGTGCAGGTGGTGTAGGGGATGCTGCCAATGCCTTCATCCTTGGTCCACCTCTGAGCTTCCCCCGAAGCTACATAGGCAGTTCCCGTGCACGCTGACAGCTCCCTCCCACAGACACCCACGTCTCTCTTCTTCTCCGTCCGAGGACTGTCAGAGCTCAGGGTAGACCCCAGGCACCTGGAATTTGATGATCCCCGGTTAGAAATGGATGGATACACACCCCAGCTTTCTTGGCCTTCCCAAGGACAGTTTCTGGAAGAGACGCAGGCTGTAACATTCTCGTGGGGCCGAGCCTCAGTGCTGACCGTGGTGGCTCATGCACTCATAGTCTTCTATCGTTTGTTTCTCTCTTCTATGTCTCACTGTCTCCACTAGCTTTTATTCTTCCCGGGCTCATTCTCAGTAACGCATTTACTCTCAAAGTCCTTTGTCCCTACTCCTGCTTCCATGAGAATAATCCAAACGAGGACTCGATGGGCAAAGCTTAAAAGCCAGCTGGAAAAGTAGGATCCCACAGCAGAAGAGATTCCTAGGTGGGTTCACGCATGTCTGGTTTTGCTTCAAGGGGAATGTGACTCAGGAAGGAGGGACTTGAGTGGGGAGGCTGGGGTGGAAAGGTCAGGAGAGTTACTCAGTCAGGATGATGCAGACTGGATGGGAACTTGAAGTACTTGTTACTGATAGCACTTAATTAAAGGCTTCAGATGCCGGGGGCTGGTAAGTTTTGATAAGTGTGGCTTATCTAGGCTTTTCCAAAATGCAAACATTTTGCTCAAAATTCTTCACCAATAAGGTAAAAATTCGAACTCTAGATTCCTCAAGATGGCATACAAGTTCCTTTATCACCCAACTTTGACCTATATGTCCTTCTCTCTCAGCATCCAATTACACCACCTGTTTGGTTCCCTAACATTTCAGGATGACTCTCTTCTCCTGGGATGTTCAGACTCTTCTTCAAGACACAGCTCAACCTAATGTCTTCTGTAAAGCTGTCCCCAACTTCCCCCACATGATTTTCATTATTTATTCATCCAGCAAGTATTTTAAAAATGCCTGCCAAGTGCCAGGCACTGATTGAAGTACTGAGGATACAGTAGGGGAAGAACTGACAAATCCCTGCCCTTATGAGGTTTACCTTGCAGTGTGGGGAGTTAGAAATAAACACCTGTCTCTTCTCCAGACTTTAAGCCCCTCACAGGCAATGGGCGTGCCTTTTCCTCTCTTTATTCCCCGTGTCTGGCAGAGGGCTCAATGCCTCTGCTTAGTGACTGTGTTCCTAGCACTGGGAGATGATTGCCGAGATGGCAAAGTGGTGGTAACAGTTGTACTTAGTGGGAGATCATATTTATACCTTGCTGTCTGGATTTCCTTTAAATCAGGCTGCTTGTTTCATATTTTTGTTTATTTATTTCTTAGAAAAGGCTGTTAATGTGTTTACAGTGATTTTATTAAGGAGACTTAGAAAAAAATAATTTAAAGAATGACTCCGTCCAACACCGTGCACAGACTTCATGCCACCAAATTGCACATTTTAAAACAGGTGAGATGGTCAGTGTTATGTAAAAGGGAAAAAAGTGAAACTAGACACCCACTCTGTACCAGGCCCCAGGTACTCCTGCGGTTACGGGAAGACACTGACAAATAAGATGTGGTCTCTGTCCTCGAGGGACCTGGGGTGTCTAGCAGGAAAAGACTTGTGAGCTGAAAGGAAGGTCAAGAGTTGTTACTGATGTTGGGGGAGAGCCTCTCCACCCTGACATTCAGATCATGCCACTTTGGTCACAAGTGACGCCCCATGAGTTGGAGGCATCATGAGGGCTCAGAGCACCACGGTGGAATGAATCAGCCTTTTAGGGGTAATTGTGTATTTTCAGAGATGCCAAGTAACGGAAACAAAGTAAGCCATTACTTTATCGGAGTGGAATTCCAAGTTATCCTTTCAACGGTAAACCGAAGAGCCCAAGCCAGCACATTCCCACGTGGTAACGCCTCTTGGTAGTAACGCACATCTCAAAGCAATTGAATGCTACCCTGGCAGGCACAGGTGAATTGCACTTGTCGGGGATATTTAGAAATGGGGCATCTATGTTTGAGAAAATCCTCAGATTGAGAGAGAGAGGATCTGGGCAGCAGTGGAGTAATCACACTGACTCTTGACGTGAGGCCGACGAAAGGCTGTCATCCCCCTGGGTCTTAGAGCCTGCCAGCTGCATAGCAACAGGTAGCAACCGGGAGCACTGCAGTGGGCGCAGAGTCACTCTCCATCAGAGAGGGTGGGGAGATGAGTGCATGGGGGTCACGTGGGGGTGGTGTGAGCAGGTCTCCTGGGAGTTGATACGTGGGGTGCAAGAAGAGAAAACCCCGATGTGGACAGAGGCCCTGGGGGAGAAGTGCTTTGCCCGGGGGCGAGGTGGCTGAGAAAGCGGGCATTTTTGAAATTACAGGTGATGCCTTTAACAGAAGACCGATGTGTCATATTGCCCGAGTTGTGCTTTTTTTTTCCTCCTCCAAATCCAAGGGATTCTCACAGTGCTCTTTTGATTGGCCTAATGATGAGTCTATTTTTGTTTGTTTGTTTACAGTAAGAGGAGAATATTGGTGAAGGACTTCAGCAGGCTGGTACTTCCTGTGTGAAAGAATGAGAAGGATTCTGAGAGTGTGCTTCTGTACCTGTGTTCCTTTTGGATGACACTGACAGGTCCCCCTTGAGGGTGGTTTTGCTGTGGGTACTGACTCTTAACAGTTTGAAAGGAGGGGAACTCTCCTTGACAACGCGTTTAACTGAAGTCAGTTTAATCGACATCCTTTGAACTCACATCAAAGGGGCAGACTTGTTCCTTTGAAGTCCTCTGTTGTCTCCCCAAATTAGCCATGTGATGGCTTAGGGCAGGTCCCTTCACTTGCCAGGGCCTCAGTTTCCAGATCTGTAAAATGGACCAGTTGGGGCAGCTGATTTCTTGGGCATCTCTGGGTCTGTCCTACCTTTCAGCGATTAATTTTATACGGAGAATCTCATATACCCAATTACACACCCAACTGGTGACTTGTGTCTGTAATTACATTAATAAAGCCCCAGAGGCCAAGATAAACAGCGAGAACACCAACTGTGAGATCACCTGGAACCAGGGAGATAATGATATGTTGTAGGGATGTGTTTTGTATACACATATCTTCTCTGGAAATTTGTTCAAGTCCAAAGAGGGTGTATGAAGCTCCAATTTGCTGCTAATGTTGCTAAGTATGAGAAACACAAGAATACTAGACGTCTTTAGTTTTGAAACAAATACTTCTGTTTTTATAATCTTTTGCACTCTTTTTTTCAGTAATTTTTCATTCTATACTTATTACTTCAACAAGTATGTATTGAGTACCTTCCACATGTCAGGAAGGTCCTGGGAATAGTGTGGTGAACCAGACAGACACCTTTGATCCCATGGAGCTTACATCATAGTGGAGGAGGGAACTGTAAAACAAGCAAGGTCACTTCCAATATTCATAATCACCACCACGACAATAAAACTGGAATAAAGGTGGCACAGTGGTAAAGAATCCGCCAACA